TGTCCCCCAGCACTCCCAGTCCCTCTCCGCAGAGCTGCTCTCCAGCGGGTCCGCCCCAGCCTGTACTGGTGCCTGGGGTTGTTCCTCCCCAGGTGCAGGACCCTGCACTTGCCCTTGTTGAACCTCATCAGGTTCCTCTGCACCCAGCTCTCCAGCCTGTCCAGGGCTCTCTGGATGGCAGCATTGTAGATCTGGAGCGCGGATCAACAAACCAGCGTTCTCCCGGGTGTACACAGTCAGCTGCAAAGCCCTGTGCTGCTGCAGAGCTCTACCTGGACAGCAGAATCTCTGGCAGAGGGCTGTTGCAGCTTGAACAATCAAATGTTTTTTAAATCTTTTGGAGCAGGCAGATAATAAAATTCATTACTACGATTTATAAATTACTTACATTATGAAGTTTGTTGTACACTTAGTGCTGAAGAGCTGAGCAAAAAATTGTAGCAATTCTACTACAGCGAATACAATACCTTGAACATATTTTTGTGTGGTTTTATATTTGTATTATTTATTTTTATGTCTATTTATATTTTCTCACTTGACTGGATAAAAGTGTAACAAAGAATCTGTTTTTCCAAAGGAAATTATCTGTATTAAATATTTGTGGAGTTTTTGTTTTAATGATTGATAGAATGTTTTAAAAAGTGAATAGTCACTGGGCTCATGGTATATCTCTCGAATTTTAATTTACTAATTTTAGCTACTCTGTTCCTTTTTTGTTAAATGTTGAACAATATAATTTCTAAAAAGTACTTGAATTGTTATCTTGCTTTTAGAGCTGTTCAGGAAACCACATTTGATCTGGAGGGAGATGTTCACAGTGGAACAGCGTTACCAGCAAGCAAGGTATTATGTTCTGACTAAATCAGCAATAAATAAGAAAAAGCCGCGTGTAAGCGAGGTCCCAGTTAGAACATCAGTAGTGTTGGGCAGAGTGCGGCCGTTCCGTCCATCTCCCCAGCCATCTCTTGGCTATGGTGCGTGAATTCCCCCCCAGCCCGTTCTGTTTCAGTTTGTGGTGGCTGTCGGCGTGTGTTCCGTGCCAAGAGCAGGCAGGTTTTGTTTGGAAAGGGAATCTCCTGCAGCCGGGAATCGTTTCTCCCCAGCCGGAGCGGCTGAAGGCAGACTGCCCGCAGGGAGAGGGGTGTGTTGGACCTGGTACATCATTATCTCCTCTACATAGCATAGGGCTGTTGTCATCCGCAGCAGGGTAAATAAATATTTCATATAAAAAGTGAAAGGGTGTTGAATTTTAATTTAATTAGGCTTTTAAAATTTAATGGATGTGACTTCTGACTTCACCAGAGCTGCTGTACACACAGGGACTGAACAGGCTCTGCAGTCGTAGTTCTAAACATCTGCAGAGATGCTAATCTTTCCTGGCTTGCTTCCTCTGCTGCGTTTCTGTCAATAACTTCTGTGCCAGAGTTTCCAAGAGCAAACAAGTGGAGTAACACGACACGAGGGTTGGTGGCTGCCTGAGTGCTGCGGGCACACGCCTCAGCTGAAACGAGAGAACGAATTAGTGCAGCCGTAGGAAACCTCATGGTCCTCCCAGAGATGCCTTTCCTTTTATGTTCTGTTACTCCTATTAGCAAATTGAAACACTTGTAAAGAAATGTAGTGATATTAGTGTGGCAGTGTAGGTATTAATCATACTTTGCTAGCTTTTGAATATATCTGTTAGTTTTCAAAGGTGTTTTCTTGCCACAGACTCCCGATTCAGTTTTTCTCCTTGCTTTGTAGCTTGCTTTGTGACGATGCTTTTGTTTATCTCGGATGCATTCTTTACCTCTGGTAGGAATTTATTCAGTGGCGTTCTGGAAGGAAAAAAAGAAACTTTGCAAACTATTAAAATGCCTCTGAATTGCTCAGAATTGGAGTTTCTGACATTATTGTCAGAAGCTTGGGAAAATTTAATTCAATTTTGAGTTGTACTGTTTGAGAATGTGCATGACAGCTTGTTGAATCACGGGCGAGTCGCTTGTTTTCTAACAGCACTCCTACGAGTTTGCTTTTCTATTTCAACAAGGTGTAACTATAACTTTCATGAAAGTTCCCTGGGACGTGGGGATGAAAAGCGATTCACAGGTTGGCAGGTCAGCGCTCAGAAAACTGCTTTGTGCAAACTCGTATTTTGAGATGCGCTTTTTGGTAGGTTTGCTTGTGTCAAAGCAAATTATTTAGTCCTAGAAATGCTTTAGGAAACGTGGAAACACTTCATATTTTCCTGATGTTTTGTTTTCAAGTGTTTATACTGAAAAATAATTGCTACATATTTGACTGCTTAAATCAGCGTGTTTTTCCCCTTCCTGATAGGGTTTGGTGTAATTGGAGATCATAAATTAAAAGCTTCGTATTAAGGAGCTTGTGACACTGAAAGAAAACATGAAATTATTCGTAAAAACATGTCATAATTTCAATTGCCACTTCTTGCCTTGGAAAATTATGCAATGTCTAGCAGATCAGACGTTCCTTAAGACCAGGATAAATGATGGCGTGGGTTAGTGACGTAAGCCCCTGGAGCTACTGCAGCAGCAGGGTAGGGGAGGACAGCCCTGCTGAAATCTGTTCATACCTTGAACTTTGAGCAAAAAGTTTTCGTTAACGATTCTTCCTTACGTTGCATTGATAATTATGCCAGTTTTAAAGAGTCATTTGGAATTTTCATTGTATGTCCTGGCAACGCGTTAAGGAATCGCTGCCCTTCTGAACGCCGAGCGCGCTCCGCAGCGCGTCGCGGCGGTGCGAACGCCTGCCGAGCCGCTGGGTTCCGTGCTGTACGCTGCCCTGCTGTGTCCCCGTCTCTTCAAGCCTCCGCCTGACGCTTCGTTTTCATAGTGCCGAGCACAAGCGCTGGCTGATCCACTGTTTGCATGCTAAGCACCTGTCCCGCTGTTTTGCATTAGAGCACCAGCAGGCTGGATGGGGACAGGACGTCGTCGGCATCCAGCACAGCCGAACGAGGGATGGTGAAGCCGATGATTAGAATAGAGCAGCAGCAGGATTACCGCAGACAGGAGAGCAGGTAGGAAATGGGTAACCCGTTAGTTCTCTGCATATGTTTTTCTGATCGAGCAAGCAGGGTGTTAAAATATTTTAAACTACCTAATTTTTCCTATGGAAAATGAGATTTTCTTTGAGATCTCGCTCCAAATAAAACCCAGGATTAACAACCAAAGCAAAAAAACTTCAGAATATTAAAAAAAAAAAATATCCTGTGTTTAAATATTCTGTTCTTTGTAGTTCTCTGTTCGTAAAGCCAAGCTGATAGTCACGTCACACCATTTGTTGATTTGTGGTCAGGCATGTCGTATGAAAAGCCTTTAATAACAAAAGTACAATTACTTGAAATTTTCATTTGTCAGTGGCAAGGTGATGCCCTTTACTCTGGAGAGGGAAATAACCAGGTCATTCCTATTTCTACAGTACTGTTGTTGGCAAGTCTTGTGAGCAAGAATTTTAGTTACCTCTGAATGCTTGTCTTTTAAAGTTGTGTCATTTGTAAAGATGTATAACGCCTCCTTCACAATTTTTGCTTTTATGATACAGTGGCTGTTACTAGGTAGGTGAATGCTATCCAATTTTGCTCACAGGCCCTTTTCTCAGGTAGAGAACGAAACGTTTCATGCCCTGCGTATTCAGTTTGTTTACAAAGCCGTAGTGGAAACCACTGACTTCAAATTGCGTGCCATTTTCTTGCTATTCCGTCTCCATGTACTCCTATACCTTGCTTAAATTCAGTTTGTGCCCGTCCAAAAGGACTCACAGAATCACAGAATAGTAGGGGTTGGAAGGGACCTCTGTGGGTCATCTAGTCCAACCTCCTGCCGAAGCAGGGTCACCCACAGCAGGCTGCACAGGACCTTGTCCAGGCGGGGCCTGAAAAATTCCAGAGAAGGAGGCTCCACAACCTC